GTTTAAATCATAAGAGAAGCAAACGTCTACTACCTTTTTAAAACTTTCTAAACAATTCACATGCTTAAAACATTGTTTAGGACAAATTGAATATAAAATATCTGTTTTTAATAAAAGTTTATAACAACTGTTTCCTGTAAAAGAACCACCATGCAAGGCTTGACGCTCTACATGGCAAGCCTTTGCCCACTGCATGGCTGTTTCGGGAAACTCTTTATTAATAAAATTAAAAATTGTATTTACTGTCCCTAAAAGTAAATGTAGCTCAGGTGGTGGTAATATTTCGATAATATTTTTTTGATTTATAGTTTCATGTACCAAGGGAACATAAACACAATTTTCAAATTTTTTGGCTTCCTTTGTAATTGAACCACTTTCTACCCATTTTAAACAATTTTTTTTAATTCCCGAAATGGTGCGTAATGTCCCACATTTTATAAAATTAGATTTTGTTATATTGCACCAAGTGCATGGGTGGTTTGAGCTGTGAGACATTAGGCCCATAATTATGTTTGCTAACTTAAGATCTACAGCTAAAACAAAATCTTTAACATTATAATAATTTTCCTCTATACCTTTTACAAGACCAATTATAAAAATCTTTTTAACACCTGAATTTTTAAATGTTTGTTTTGAATTTCCTGGCTGATTTAAAATATTTTTTAGTTCCAAAGAAAGGCATATTTTAAAAAATCCACCCCCACCATCCATTCCAATTTTAACAATAATTTCTTTATTAACTAAACATCTTTCTTTCTTAATGATCTTAATAAGATTCAATATATATTTGCATATTATAACTAGTCGTAGTGTTTTCTTATCGTCTTTGCTTTTAAATTCTTCTTCCACGCATATAAAATGTTCATCTAGAACGTGATTTGAATCTTGAAGCTTATTTTTAAGTCCTTTTTCAATAATATTTTTATTTTTTGATTCTTCTCTAATAATTAAAGCAATTTTTAATGTTTTATTTGTGCTCAAATTGACTTTTTTGAATATTTGAAAAACATTCCATTGAAAGATTAAATTTTAAATTTAAATTTGATTTATTTTTATTTTCTATAATTTTCTTCATATTATTTTTTCTAGTATATAAACTGCATTTATGTATTTTTCCTTTGCCTATAGCAGAAAAACATTTTTTACATAAAATTGAACCATTTCTGTTTTTATATTTTTGAATTTTAAATGATCTGTGTGATAGTCTATTGTTTTCGATTTTACAAATTGTACATAAACACTTTTTATTGTTTTTATGATCATATTCAAATAAAGAATAATCATAGAGCTTTATTTGTTTATTAAAATTACCTTTTTCATATTCACTTAAAGTTATTCTGCACGACGTACATAAGTCTCACGTCATTAAAATCAAAGTCTTTTAAAAGATACTTTTTAATACAGTTTTTTTGGGTTAAATTAACCATTCGATGACATTTACTTTTAGAAAGACAAAGTAAACAAACTAATTTCCTCAACTTAGCATGAGACACCACCTTAAACACCATTTTTAACAGTTTAATAACATTAAAAAACTTTTAGATGTAAGGCAAAACAATATTTGACAGTTCTGTTAGCTTGGTTCAAACCATGGCACTCTAAATAAATTAAAATCCTTATTAAGGGATTTCAGAAATTTTACCAACTACAAATATTTGTTAAAATTAAGAATATTAAAAAACCTGAGTACGGGCCTGTTAAATGTGTAAAAATTAAAGTATTTATAAAAAATCCATGAAATTAAAAAAAATGGTAACAAGTTAAAATAAAACGGTTGTAAAATAATTATAAAATTAATCGTGTGAAATTTAAATTTAAAATGTTAAATTTGTCTTTATAAAAAAGGCCTTAATTTAAAAAAAAAATATTACGTCAAAAATATCAGTTTATATTTAACAATAAAAAAATTTTTTAGTTTTACATATATCAAGATGATTAAACTTTTTATATTAGTTTTAAAGAAGGTGTGTGATTTTAAAAAAAGTTGAGTTTTTGTACTAAAAAAAATACATATCTACGCTACTGTACAACTTATGAAAAAAATTAAATATGCATTTTAAACAGAAAAACCAATTCTAAGAGTTGGTTAATTTTCAAATTTTTCATAAATAATTTGTTTCCTTGGTTTCTGTTAAAAAATAAAATAAACCAAAAAATATAAATCATTAAAAATTTTACAAATTATCAATTAAAAGAAAAACTGGTCGTTGGAATATTTTAAAAATTTGTCTGTTTTTAATCTTTGATATGAATAATTCAAAAATGCTAAAAGTAGAAATGGCTTATTTCAAAAACTTTTTTTTGTTTAAAACCAACCGTGCCCATTGATGTAACTTAACGGGTATGTTAAAACAGTAATGTTAGTGGTGGTAACACGGTTTGGAAGAAAGTTTTGAGTATCTCTGTTATACCTCCACAGAATAAGGCCTTTCATAAAGAAATGTTATTATTATTTAATATTTTTTACTTTCTTTACTTTATTTTATCGTTTATTTTTATTTATTTTGCAGAATATAAATAGTATTATTTTTATGTTGGCAACAATGACCCGTGTTGACATAAGATGTCACATAACCTAAAATAATAAATCATTAAAATAAAAATATTTACAATATTTAAGCACAAGTTGTATTTATGTAACAAAAATTAGGTAATACCACGCATTTTACAATTATGTACATAATTTTTTTACACATTTTTTTTAATTTTAGCCTTCAAGTAACTTGAATCAAGTTGGGCCATCAAAACACAAGTTTATTATGGTTTCTTATTTCTGGTTCTTTATATTATGTGGGGTTCCGAGAGCAATAAGTGTCTTAAAAGTGTGAAATTGTAAATAATTCTGTTGTGTTGAAAAAAAAAGGAATAAACCACCCAAACAAATCGAAATGCTTGATTACAAATAAAACGAAATACTCGTTTACTATTCAACAATCAACGTGCCTTTTTATGTTGGTGTATACCTAATTGAATTAATATAGGCAAGTATTCAAAATTATATTAGAAACTTCATATGTTAAAGTTAGAGGGAAAATTAAATAGTTTGAGTTATAGCTTTTTTACTTTAATGGTTTTTAAAGGTTCATTTTTTTATATACTTTGGGGATTTGAGTTAGACCCTCCAACTAAGGGGGGCTAGCTTAAATTCAAATGTTACTCATAAAGGTTACATGAATACTTTATTTTAGGCCTCGTAATGAAAGATGCTTTAAGTTATGAAGGTTGTCAAGACACTATATTGAGTTGCAGCAATCGTTAAATTTTTAAAGGTTTCATATTTTAAATAAGGTTTCAAGCTCTGAGGGGAAGTGTTATCAAGGTATAAGTTTTAAAAATTAGTATTAATTTGGTATTAGTTTGGTATTTCATAAGAATATGGATAAAAAGCAAAAGTATTGAGCAATATTATTGGCGCCTTGTTATGAAATGACCCTAATAAAATTAAATATATTTTATCTTTAAAATAATGATCAGATTCTTAAATATTATAATGTATTAAGTAATACTTAATAAGTATAAGATAAAAGATAGTTTTGTGACGAAAATGTAATATTAACTAACTACTTTTTATAATTTTGATAGGTGTATTGCCTATTTTATGTTGGATCAATAAAATAGTATAAAAACAATGAAAATACTGTGTGAAAGTTTTTCGTTGAAATTCTTTATGTAATAGCAATAACAAGTTACTATTCATACTTGTGAATGTTCCCTTAAAATAAATGTTTATATAATATAATATTCCACTATTTACTGTGTTCTCCCTCATGAACATTTTATTTTAAAGGTACATTTGCTACGAAGGCGTAGAAGGGCCAACAAAAATTTTACAAATTTTAGCCAAAACTAACTTTGATTTTTGCAATTTCTATTCTACAATTGTAACTTGAACCTACAATTGTAACTTGAACTTACAATTGTAACTTGAACCTACAATTGTAACTTAAACTTACAATTGTAACTTGAACCTACAATTGTAACTTGAACCTACAATTGTAACTTGAACTTACAATTGTAACTTGAACTTACAATTGTAACTTGAACCTACAATTGTAACTTGAACTTACAATTGAAACTTGAACCTACAATTGTAACTTGAACTTACAATTGTAACTTGAACCTACAATTGTAACTTGAACCTACAATTGTAACTTAAACCTACAATTGTAACTTGAACCTACAATTGTAACTTGAACCTACAATTGTAACTTGAACTTACAATTGTAACTTGAACCTACAATTGTAACTTGAACTTACAATTGTAACTTGAACCTACAATTGTAACTTGAAATTACCTACAAATAAGTTTCCACATAAGCTACGAAGGCGTACAAGGCAGACGGTGTGGAAAGGTAAGTTTATTTTTTCTTCTCTCTATAGTGTAACCAATTAAGTGTTTTTAATAGGTAGCTATGGATTTTGTTGATACACTAATAAAACAATATTTCGAAATGGGGCTTCAGCAAAAAGAAATATTATCATTTCTTAAAGGCAAGCATAACGTATTTATAAGCCCAAGAACCTTAAAACGGCACCTGTGCAGACTCGGTCTTGTAAGAAGGAAATTTAGTCCTTTAGAGAATGTGTATGCTTTTATTTTGTCTCTTATAACTACTTCTGCCCAATTACATGGATACAGGTGGATGCATTTAAGGTGCATTCAGCATGGACTTGTCGTTAGTCAAAAGGTGGTGCGACAAATACTTCTTGAGGTAGATCGGAAGGGCGTAGAATATCGAAGAAGAAGAAGATTAAGACGACGTCAATATAGCAGCAGGGGACCAAATTATCTTTGGCATGTAGATTCCTACGACAAATTAAAAAGATACGGGATTTGCATAAACGGTTGTATTGACGGTTTTTCGAGGCACATTATCTGGCTACGAGCTAGCACAACGTCTAGTGATCCAAAAGTTATTGCAAGCTATTACCTGACAGCTGTTGGTGACTTGCATGGATGTCCACTTACCATAAGAAGTGATTGCGGGACAGAAAATGTAATGCTGGAAACTTTGCAAAGTGTTTTTCGGGATTGCTTTGGAAACAGAAGTGAAAGGCCTTCGCATATAAAAGGAAGAAGCACTGCGAATCAGCGCATAGAGTCATGGTGGTCGATATTGAGAAAGGAAAATGCTCAGTACTGGATCAATTTATTGGAATCCATTCGAGATGAAGGGTTATTCACCGGGAGCTACTTGGATAAAGCTTTAATCCAATTTTGTTTTATGGATATAGTACAAGTAGGTTGGGTTTTGCCTTCTTTATAAGAGTATAATCCAAACCTTAAGGTTTATAAATTTATTGTTTACAGAGTGAGTTGGATGAAATTTGTTTCCAGTGGAATACACATAGAATCAGGCGATCGAGGAATGCTATCGCACCCACAGGACGTCCAACAGTTATGTTTGAATTACCAGAAAATTATGGCTATTTAAATTATTTAATAACCATTCCAATAGAAGCAGTAAACAATTTAAAAAGAGACGCTGAAGTAACTAGTGAAGTTATTTTTTGCGATAGAGATGTCGAAAATGTATGTATGTGCATCATGGCAGAAAATGGCTGGACAAAAGATGGTATCCTAAACAATGCTATATCTCTGTATGCTAATCTGCGGAATAAGGTATTGAATGTACTACAACAAATTTAATGTAATATATTTATTATAATGTTTTAATAAAATATAGTCATAATTAAAACAAGCAAAACATAAATAAACTAAAACAATAACAAAACTTTTCTGATCATTTCTTAATTGTTAATTATTAAAATAAAACAAACCCTAACTTCTAAAGACTTGTACTGCCGTGCTTAATGAAAACGCCGTAACCAACAATTTTGCGATTTTTGGTTTACGGCATTTTCTACTAGAACAATTCATCCTGCGTCTATCCCCGGTACTCAAAAAACCGTATATATATAGATACGGTTTTTTGAGTACCTGGGATAGACGCAAGATGAATTTTTCTAGTAGAAAATGCCGTAAACCAACTGCACGGCAGTGTAGGTGAACATAACTAATTCAACAAGTTATTAGGACAGCCCAAAGGTGGCCAGGCCATTTAATATTCCAAATGTTAAATTGTTCTTGTACGTTTCATAATCATCGCTTGCCACTATTGGTAAATATAAAATAAGGGCACATGTATTACTTTTTGGGAACAAAGATGGATCATCATGCAGGAATTCTATAGTTGGTTGTTGATCAAATCCTAAAGCAGGTTCGGTATTGCACCCTGTCGCGAAAGCCAATACGTCAGATAAGGAAACTTGACAATCACCATCTGAAAAAGGAAGAAATGTACGCTGTACTTTCAGAAAATTTAATAAATTCGTGGGTCATTCAAGCAAACACTACTAACCTTCACAATTCTGGAGGTAATCCCTCCAAAAAGCCGTTGTTTGGGACTCCAGTAACCGACGCTGCGTACCAACAGCTGATCTTTTAACACAAAATAAACGGGTCAGGTATTTTGCTGTAAGGTGTGTCTCTTCTTTAAAGCAAAACAAAGACGATGCTTGTTCAGGATACTTCATAATCAGAGAGAGAACACTGAGCATTTTTAGACCCTCAGCAAATTGCTCAAGGGCTCTTCGAGGACGGTCAATAACCAAATGGTGTATAATTTCTACAAACATATAATGTTATTAGTAAAAAAAAATGCACAGAAAAAATATTTATTTTTTGGATATTAAGTGGAAATTGCATATCTTGCACACCTTTTATTAGTTTGTCCTTATTTTCGAACGAGGCCGGTAAAAACCCCAAATCCAGTAACTCATCGTGGCTTGAGATAACTTTTTGAAATGGGGTGTTTTGTAAGTCCAGAACCATTTGCCAGGTAATTAAACACAGTCCTTGAGAGGAAATTGGGCCGGGGTCCGCCGTGAATTATCGACATAGCAAAAATCTTTCCCGCAAGTAAATATTTCTCTTTTCCAAGAGCTGTTAAGTTTAGATTAAAAATTTTAGATCCTTCACTTCCTGAAATATAATGTATGTACTTACTAATTCGCCCATTTTAAATAATTGCGTTACTGTTAGGGACTACCAATAAATATCTCACTATTTTGAAGCTGTTTTAAACTCAGTCGGAATAATTCACGCGAAGGCCCACCTTCGTCGATAGCTCCCTCTGGGACCTCGTCGACATCCACAAATTGTACGTCGATTTTTTGATAGGGCGAAAACGTGCAACGCTTCATGGCATTTCTCATGGATGATACCGGATCTTCCCTGCATGCGTTCACCAAAAGAGGTTTGTCTACTTGAATTTTTTGACGAATAATAGTCAGTTCGCTGTCAAGATTCTGCGATTGCTCGTTTACTGTTTGGAGATCAATAACTTCATATTCTGAATAATCTTCTGTAGAGATGGGTAATTCTTGATAATTTGTAGAACCACCAGGCAATTCATCAACAGTTGCTGGCATGTCTTTGGGGTCTGGGGCATGTAGTTTTAAAAATTCTTCGATATCAAACGAGTCATTTGGTGAAAGACTTATACTGCCGCTGCTCTGAACGTTAACATCTTCATTTTTTGCAAATTCATCCGATGAGGAAGATGTTGTTAAAGAGTATTTTGAGTTTTGTTTTTTGTTATTCGGGTGAGTTTTTTTGGATGGGCGATTGTTCGTTGCACCATCTTCACTGCTTGAAGATGAGTAGCTTAATTGTGTTTTCTTCTTCCTTGTTCTCACCCGCTTCTGTTTTTTTTCGGACAATTCGGATTTTAAAGTAGTAGAGTGATGTAGACAGAAGTGGGCCACCGGTTGGAGTGGGCCACCTGATTTATTTTAAGACTAGTGACATCTATGTCAAACCGCATATATTAGCTATCGTATTTTGACGTAGGTAACTTTTCATAAGCATTCGGGGGTTATAAACCTGCTCTTTCACTGTCAACAAACAACGTGCTCCGGATTGCGGCGTTTTTACCCTTGCACGCTTTCACGCGATTTGTGATCGAATTTTTACAAGAAATACTCAGGTAAATATGCAATATGTTAGTTGAACATGTAATCTTTGGAATGCAAAGTGATTTTTGCCCATTATTCTCGTTGCGTTTTTGTGGAATGCATACGCAAAAAAAAGGGCTTGTAGACAGAAGTGGGCCACTATTTGTAGACAGACATGGGCCACCTGAATAATGCGTTCTTTGCACAGTTAAGTGTTTTTAAATCATGCAAATGTCTTATTTACTCATTTTTCTCATTTCAGTCATTATGCCTCCAAAAAACAAGGAGAAAACCCCCAAAAAAGTAGTCAATTACGAAAAATTGATTACTGCTATAAAGCAAGTACAGATAAATAAAATATCGGAGCGTGTTGCTTGTGCTACTGCCAATGTTAGCAGATCGACATTTCAACGCTACCTAAAACTTGCTGTCGACCGATTTCCGGATATTGCCGCTGTTACCGACGCACAATTGTTGGATCTCTTTCAAGAACGTCCTGCACACGGTGGAAAAACGGTAGATATTTTTCTACATTTCTCTATCTTTTGTCAAGTAAATAATAACTATTGTTAGTTGACAAATTGTTTCTTGATACTTGTTTAATTTTGTAATTGCTCATTTTTTTGTAGCTCATGCTTTTCATACACTACCATATCTGTTGAATTTTTCAATTTTTTACTAATTTTCACATTTCGCTTATTTACAGATTTTCACTGCAGGGCAAGAAAAAGAACTGAATGAATATATCATTAAGTGCTCTCAACTACACTATGGTCTCACCATAAACAACATACGCCGGGTAGCCTTTCAGTTTGCCAAAAAAATTGGAATCGAGTACCCGGACGGATGGAATGAATACGACATGGCCAGCAGAGATTGGTATTATGCCTTCATGAAACGCCACCCACGACTCTCTTTGCGCACACCAACTTCAACCAGCATGAATAGAGCAAAAGCATTCAATAAAGAAACTGTCGACGAATTTTTCATTCTGCTCCGTTCTGCGTTGAATAAATATCCATTCCCGCCATCCCGCATTTGGAATGCTGATGAAACCGGATTCCCCACGGTTCCAACGAAAACCGTAAAAGTGGTTGCTGCAAAAGGTTCGAGGGTTGGTTTGCACTCATCTGCAGAACGTGGTACAAATGTGACAATGGTGACGGCTATTAGCGCTGGTGGAGATTTCATTCCTCCTTTCTATTTGTTCCCGCGCAAAAATATGAAAACGTCATTCCTGTACAATGCCACACCAAGCGCCGTCGGCTTCGCAAATGGCTCAGGTTGGATGACTGCCATTGACTTTGTCCAGTTCATGCGACACTTCATTAAGTTTGCACATGCGTCAAAAGAAGATCCTTTATTATTGATAATGGACAATCACCGATCGCACCTCACTATTGAAGTCATCGATCTTGCCATTGAACATGGAATCACCATTCTGACATTGCCGCCTCATTGCAGCCATCGGCTTCAACCTTTGGACGTTGGTGTATTTGGACCGGTCAAAAGATCCTACTCCATTCAATGTGATGCATGGTCAAAGAATCATATTGGTTTGCTGTTGGAAATCCAGCATGTGGCTGAAATCGTCGCCATTGCCCTGCGTAACAGTCTTAGTACTCGGAACATCGTTGCAGGTTTTGAAAGATCCGGAATTTTTCCATTTAATCCAGAAATTTTTGACGAGGACGATTTCGTGGCTGCAACCTTCAGCGGAGAGCACCAAGTTGTTGAAAATCAAGTTATTCTGAAGGATGACGAACTCCAACAACTTGTTAGAATTGAAGAAGAGCCTGGGGCGCGAGTAGAGTCCACAACATCCACTTCAACATCTACTTCAACTGCGTCTACATCAGCGACATGTTCTACATTGGACATTGTTGGGCCACTGAATTATGTCACACCGAAGCAGAAATCTAGAATTGAAGAAGAGCCTGGGGCGCGAGTAGAGTCCACAACATCCACTTCAACATCTACTTCAACTGCGTCTACATCAGCGACATGTTCTACATTGGACATTGTTGGGCCACTGAATTATGTCACACCGAAGCAGAAATCTAATCGTGGCCGCAAACCAATGAGAAGCAGCGTCATTACATCGCCTGAAAATAGAGAGGTCGCGAAAGAAGCTGCGCGGCGTCAAAAATTGCAGATATCAACAAAAGATTCCAAGAAGGAAAAGATTCCAAAAAAGAATTCTTCACAATCAGCTGTGAAAAAAGGCAAAAAAAGGAAGTCCTCGGTTTCTTCAGAAGAGGATATTGATTTCTGCATGATTTGCACTAAATTGATGCCGGCAAAGATGACAAAAAAAAATTCCATCCAGTGCGACATCTGCGACCGACCCTTCCACTTGCAGTGCATCGATATGACTGACCGCGCCGACTTCACGTGCGTCAATTGCGAGTAGGATATGTGCTTTTCTACTGAATAATGTTTTTTTTGCAACAAAAAATGTTTTTTTCGCAACAACAAATGTTTTTTCTACTTTATCACTCTTTTTTCCAGACATGAAATAAACATTAACATGAAATTCCATGTTTTTTTTCAATTTCTGATCCTCATTTAGCGAAAAGTATTTTGAATTTTGCAAATTTTCCAACAGATTTGTGATCAGCGTCTTTGAAAACCCCTAGAACAAGAATTTGTACCACATCGCAGCATTTTGCAGATAACAAATTGGGTGGCCCACTTCTCCCTACAATTTCGGAAAACTCGGAAAATACACTTTTTTTTTAAAATTGAAAATGAAAATACTTTACAACTGAATTTGAAAAATGTGATATGATGGAAAGTTGTGTTTTGGAATAATCTTGCGATTGAAAAAAAAAATTCATTTTAATTTTAATTTTTCACCATTTTACAACCAATAATAAAAACGTGGCCCATTTCTGTCTACATCACTCTATGTAGACAAAAATTAAGCCTGGTAAAGCCTGTTATTGTAAACATGTGCTCAATGGTTAAGTCTGGATCGAAACTATTTGCAGCAAAATCTAGTAGATCTACATCATAGTCTGCTAAGCAGCCCTTTCTAATTGATTTATTGTTGGGAAAATATAAGGCAATTGCTTTCTCTAAGATATCTTGTTTTTTAAATGATTTTAAAACGTCAATTTGTCGACCACCCCCACCCTCCTGCATTCGCACGATCTTATTATCGCATTTCCAGGTTATATTAATTTTTCTCGTGGGTTTAGAGGGTTTTTGCGAAGGACCTGCCGTGTTCATGGCTTTCGCGGGGCCTTCAATATGAGATAATTTTGTCTTAAGTTTGTGTGCAAGCGTAAAAAAAGTAGCCGATGGCGGCTTGTTTCGATTCATATCGAGGCAAATTCTTTTATTTTGTATATGTCTCCCACCCGTTGCACAAACTGTCCAAGTTCTGTAGAGCTTATGGCTTTAATTGTTGAAAGATCAATCTAGAACAGACAATTTTGTTTAATAAACGAGATAAGGTTATTTTCCATACTGGATGTTTTTGAAATATTTCTTAAAAAAAAGGAAAGGTTTAACTAGCTTTGTGGATTGCTTCTATGATGTTTTTCCCAAAGGGTTCATAAAAGTTTAAAAAAATTGCCTAATCCGGTGCACAATCCACACAACAAGGTTTGTTCTATCTCATTTCGCGAATACTAAAAATCAGGAAGTTAGGCAACACACTGCATAGAACAGAACGTCATATTCCTGCCAAAAGTCACTAACTGACAATTTGGAAAAACAAATTGTACCCAACTATACAAATTTACCATATCTTTAATATTTAAAAGCCACTACCTATATGCCTAGAATATTTAAAATGGTCGTTTGTGCATGGTTAAAAATCACTAAAGTTCATAAACTGATGTAAGAGATATATTTATTTGCTTATTTATTTTATCTTGAAGCTCAATAATAAAATGTTGGCTGGTGACTTCTTACAGGGATATGACGAGACTTTGTTGTCTCAAGGAATTGCGCCTATGAATTAAAAATAAACAAAAAAACAGGAATTACAATTTTTATATTTATTTACGGATTTTATTAAATGTATTCCAAAATCAGCAGTATACAATAGAAAGGATTAAACTTTTTTTCACTTCCAGCCTATAGGCTGGCTATAGCAAATGTAGCGTGACTTCCTGACCCTCACAGTAAAAAATAATGGTAAAATGACGGATAAAAATATGTAATATATTTAAATAAAATATATGGTGTTTCAAATATATTTGGTAAAATTACGGATAAAAATATGTAATATTTACATAAAAAATATGGTGTTTCAAATAAACGCATAAATTATTATGGTTATTGAGTGATTTTACTGAATATATTCTGTAAAGGTAAATATTTTACAGAATATTACCTTGGTTACTATGTGGCCAACGTAATATTCTGTAATGTTTTTTACTGTGCTGTTCAAACCCGGTCACAGTGGTCTGAGAGGTATATTTACGCGGCAAAAATCCAATTTTTAAAACATTTACAAAATGCATTTGTATGTATGCCTCTTAATTATTCGTGACAGATTATTACCTAGGTATGTGTTGCCTTATAACAAATACATGAAAGAATTGTCAAAAATACTCTTACTTTCGAAATCTTGTATTTTTCGTGTAAAAAAGGTGTTGCGTAAATATAATAGTGAAAATTAGTGTCAAAAATGTATTGTACGGATAAAGGTGAATACAAATACAACTTTAAAATGTCTTTTTTTGGATTTTTTTTCAAAAATATAGCGTTTTTTAACCTACAAATTCTCAAGTTGTGTAATTTCAAATAATAAATGGAATGTAAGTAAAAATTTATAATTTCTTGCCCAGAACCACATAGTGCATTCAAAAATATGAACCACCAGCTCCTAATTTATAAAAATTTATCTTCCTATATGCGCCTATAAGAGAGTTATGCAAAAATAAAAAATGGTCGACAAAAATTACCGCCAACCTGGTCATAAAAGTAATATATTTTTCAAATTTGACAATAATTATTGTTTTTAAGAATGGTAATACATTTTTTTTTACTCCTATTACATAATATTGTTTTTAAGCTTTGTACAGTGTGCCCACGGGTCGGATTGACAATAGAAAAAACTTTTTTATCATGTTACGAAAAAAAAACATATTTTATAAAAGCTCTTGCTTGTTTCAAAAATAAGATTCCTACAGAAACATTTTGAATTAAGGGTGCTTAGAAACTAAAAAAACCTAAAAAACCAGAAATTTAAAAAAATATATGGGGCAGTCCACGCCAAATCGGCCAAGAGTAAGACCGATTTGTTTCAAATTTTTAGGGTCGATAGACGAACTAAAGTAATGGAGAAATCTGAAATTTCAACCTCTTTTATGCATTTTTGTAGGTTTTACATAATAAACAAAAAAAATGTAATTTCTCTTATTTTTCGATTATTTAAAAACCCGAAAGACAAAAAATTTCGAAAAAAAAACATATAAACATATTTTTTGACGCTCATTAAGAAAAAAATTAAAATAAAAAAAAATTGTTCAAAAATTCTCAACAAAAATCTAATTTTTTTTCAAATTTAAATTCCCAAAAAGTGATTTTTTTGTTTATTTTGTAAAACCTACAAAAGTTCCTTTATCGGCCCTGAAAATTTGAAGCAAATCGGAAACATGAAGTCTTACTCTTGGCCGATTTGGCGTGGACTGTCCCATATATCAAAATACGAGAGAAGTAGTAAAATATTCGTAACGGAATCGCAAAAAATCATTCTTTATAAAAACTTCTGCTTGTTTTTAAAAATGAATTTCCTAACAAACATTTTAAATTAAATGTCCAGGGGCTCAGAAATTAAAAAAAAAACAGTAAATTGCTTCAAGAGGGTAGTACAATTTTTGTATACACGGAGAAAAATATAATAAATGATATTAGAAATATAATTAATAGGTACTATTTATTATATTTTACGTTAAATATAGTGACAGCTAAATATTATGATAAATTTTAATATGAAAATATAATTAAGATATATTGTAAATATAATATTATTTTATATTAAACCGATTTAACATATTAATTAATTTGTATAAAATATTAAGTTTAAAGTGTAAAATTAATAAAAGATATAATAGTATTTAATCAACAGTATCATAAGTTCAATCATAAGACGATTATAATATTTTTATTTACTCCAGTATTTTAATTTATATAATATAATAATATATAATTATATAATATTTATATAATTACATTATTTATAATATATAAAATTATTTTAGTTTCTATTGTATACATTTTAATATGCGTTTTTTAACATACATTTTTCTCCGTGTAATGAAGATGATGCGTGCATTTTAAATAGCGCTTACCTTTTGCTCTTTCATTGTGGCGATAGTTGCCCTGTCAATACCACTTTGTAGTAAAAAATCCTCCAGTTCTTCCTCCATCTAGAATATTATTAGAATTAAAAGTAAGCTCGATAAAAACTTTAAATGGTCGCTTGCTAATTAAAATTCTTAATAAAGTAATGCGGTTATAGAAAAATATTAATACTCAGATGCATGATACTACAGTGCTTGCAAATACAAGTCCGACCACACTGGAAAGAACGGCTGTTCAATACCCGTGAAAAGAACAAGGATAGAACGCCAAATAGAATTTGATTGGCCAGCCGGCAGGCTACGACAACGCATACCCATCGCGCACCTCGCAGCGTGCTTGACACGAGGATATCAGAACGAGAACTGCAGTGGTGCCAGCAAGAGGTAGTAATTTTAGTAAAAAAGATTATTTAATTAAAAAATGTAGGTACACGTATTTATTAATATGTTTCTTTTACATATAAATAAATTACTATAAGTTACTCACCTTTATTACTTCGAACAGCCCTTTACACAAAAACCTGTGCTTTCCAGAATCCACACACACTTCACTACTTGTCAGGCGTATAACTAATAAATTCTATAAAAATAAATGCCAATAATAAATTTTAGGTTCAAGTTACAATTGTAAGTTCAAGTTACAATTGTAGGTTCAAGTTACAATTGTAGGTTCAAGTTACAATTGTAGGTTCAAGTTACAATTGTAAGTTCAAGTTACAATTGTAGGTTCAAGTTACAATTGTAGGTTCAAGTTACAATTGTAGGTTCAAGTTACAATTGTAAGTTCAAGTTACAATTGTAGGTTTAAGTTACAATTGTAGGTTCAAGTTACAATTGTAGGTTCAAGTTACAATTGTAAGTTCAAGTTACAATTGTAGGTTCAAGTTACAATTGTAAGTTCAAGTTACAATTGTAGGTTCAAGTTACAATTGTAGGTTCAAGTTACAATTGTAGGTTCAAGTTACAATTGTAGGTTCAAGTTACAATTGTAAGTTCAAGTTACAATTGTAGGTTCAAGTTACAATTGTAGGTTCAAGTTACAATTGTAGGTTCAAGTTACAATTGTAAGTTCAAGTTACAATTGTAGGTTCAAGTTACAATTGTAAGTTCAAGTTACAATTGTAGGTTCAAGTTACAATTGTAGGTTCAAGTTACAATTGTAGGTTCAAGTTACAATTGTAAGTTCAAGTTACAATTGTAGGTTCAAGTTACAATTGTAGGTTCAAGTTACAATTGTAAGTTCAAGTTACAATTATAGAATAGAAATTGCAAAAATCAAAGTTAGTTTTGGCTAAAATTTGTAAAATTTTTGTTGGCCCTTCTACGCCTTCGTAATTTGCAAATGTTGAGAAATAATAAATAAAAAATAATTGTAATGCTAACAACAAACATCAATGTATTATCAATATTAAGCAAGCATATTTTACAAAATTAAGTTAAAAATTCAATTAACATAAAAATGGGTGTGGTGCTATAGGGAGTTAATTTGTAAGTACAATTTATAATGGGCTGTATACTACCTATACCAAAGTTAAATTTAATTTAATAAAATTGTAATGTGAGTTTATATAATATGTTAGATATATTATACAAATTATAATCTACATTTTTAAAATTTCTTTTAGGATAAATTTAAACATGTTATTAGTTTCATTTTGTTAATAAATTAATGCAAACTGAATATTAAATTGATTTAAATGTAAGAAAACAGTTGTACCAATAAAAACATATAATTTTTATTTAATGTTATTTATTTATATATTTGTATACAACAGAATTAAGGTTAATTTTTGTTTATTTTTTCATTCCAGAACTTCTTTACTATTTTATTCAATAATAATATACTCGTTCATAAGTAGGTACACCATATTAATAAATATACATATTTATATGTATTAATAAATACTTATACATATATGTAGGTAGGTACCAGTAAGGTAAAGAGTAAATTTACAGTGGAGTCTTTGGTAAAAAAAGTTTTTTTTTCATATGAAGTTATGCTTT